ATGGAAACCGCCTGCTGAGGCTTCGCTGCTGCACTCGGCATCTCCTAATCAGCTACCATGTGAAATGCAAATTCAGACAGTCTGAAAATTAGTCAAGAAGAATAGAGGATGAGGATGCAGATATGTGAAATATTCATGCACTTCATGGAAAAAGGAAGACAGCATGAATGACACAACAAAGAACAGCCCCTGACATTCTTGCTATCATTTTGCATTATTGTTCACACCCTACTGTATTTCTAGGCCTCCAGTTCTGAAGTTGGCTATATGAACTGCCATATTTATAGTCTACAATAAATAATAATTAAAAACGGCCAAGGTAAAGTGACTAAATGGAAAACTCAAAGAGGTATAGTGTATAAATTGCACAATAGATCATTATTTCATCCTTTGTAACGTCACTGAATTATCTTTTTAAGTCCAGTTTGTTTCATAAAAGGGGAAAAATTGTCGCTATAAATACAAAACAAAACAGAATACTGGGCAGTAATCTTTTATTAATAGTCCAATCACTGTCTTTGAATGCAAAAAAATTTAAGGTCAGAATTACAGCCCCTACTCTATAAATGAAAATGCACAACACTTTATGTTTATTAGAAGTATTTCAGTGCTCATGTTTATTTGCATTTTCAAACCAATCTTTAATACACGTAGGCTAAATTCAATTAGAATTGGTTAATATGTGTTGTTTGGTTTACAGTTGCTATCAGTTTGCCCTGTTCTTTTCAAGTGGGAAAGTATTTCAAAACTGGCATCTCAGAACACTCAGCAAGCATTCATATTTTTTCATTCTGTTACTCACACTAAGAAAAATATTTAGTTTCTTTTCATTTTAGAGCTTAAAAAAGGAAGTACTCCTCCTCAAACACATTAATGACAGCAAAGAACTGTTACCTATCAGCTTAAAACAAACACTGCTGCGATATGCATGAGTATATTGTTCAAATTCAATTATATTATGTCTGCCTATATTTCTCTGAAAATTACTATTAGCATTGTCAAGAACCACTCTTTCTTGAAAAGAACTGCTGTTCAATTCTATCGAACAGCACATCACAGTTTTATAATGCAGACAAATTGGAACTAAACAATTCATTTTTACTAGTGAGTTACTTTGTATCTATTTTAATGCAAGCCCCTAGAGAAACAAGACTAGTGCACTAATTTACTGTGCAACATAAACTTGTATAGTTGTGCTTTTAGAAAAGCATACTACAGATGTACGACTCAATCCCATTCTGGCATGTAGAACGTATCATCGAGCATTCTGGGAAAGCATTTTGTCATACTTGCAAGGAAGCTCAATGAAATTAAGAAGCTAACAGTATGAGGTTTCCATCATTAATCTCCCCAAATTTAAAGTCATATCAGAGACTTGTTTTGACAGAAACATTTGAGCAAGTTCAACAAGCAAATACTTATGGGCATAATCTGCAAGTTAACACAAAATCTCACAAGTTCATTTACTTCCCTGGGAGTGTGCCAGCTTACATAAACTGAGGATTTAGCCTATGAAAAGGAAAATTACTTACTTCCTCTGAATAGTGATCTGAAGGGAGAGGTGGGTAGTCACACTGTTCTATCTTCTTGCACAGGGAGTACAAGTTCATTTTATCACCATAAAAGGGACTCTGCAGTGCAGCCATCTGTTTAAAGAGAATGTAGTGTTTTCTTTTGTGCTTTTAAGTAAACCTGTTTTGTCATAAAATCTGTAACACTAACAAATCAAAAGTGATTTTTAACAACTTTTGATTCCCTGCTTAGAAGTGTCACCGTGCTTAAAAACAGAAGTTCCAAAACTATTATTATAACCAGTGTGTGCTTATTCTATGTCACAGTCGTGCCTGTCACAATCCTTATATTGCAATATTTCAACTGTATATGATTAGAGTTCTATTACTAGAGTATGAGGAAAAATTGAGTGGTTTCCAATACTGCTGTGAGCGTGGAGGGTCCTTACACTAAAAGGAAGACAAAAAAACCCCAAACCCACAATGTAACTTTCCTCCGAAGACCTTTTGGAACAAAACACGTAATTTATTTGAAAACATTATCTGACCTAAAGCAATACCATATGTTGAAAATGCTGTGTAACAGTAGTAAATTTTGTAACCTTCCATAGCTATTACACTCCACATTGATACAGTTGTTTGGTTGTTTTTTTTAATATCAAGAAAACTAAAGGTAACTTCTATACTTCAAAAAAAAAATCCAAACCCTAGAACTTCGTAATTCAGTATGTTATTTGAAAGTACTTTAAAAAAAAAAATAATCCCAAAACATCATCAGAAGTGCAGAACAGGCACTCACGACTATAATTTACAACTGTAATACAAAAATAGGAATATCTGTTGGAGAAAACTTATATAAATGATCAGCTTAAAACCAGCATTAGTAAATCTACGCTTTATATCCAGACAATGTTACATCTTGACATTTAAGGTGGAAACAAATGCTATGGTTAGCAGGATTACAAATTTAAAAATTCATTTAAAATCTCTCCATTCTGTTCAAAGCCTTCTAAGTCTTTGAACCGCAGCAGCACGAATGCTGCTTTGAGTGCAGTGCTGCCCCAAAGTCAGTCACCCTTTTCTACATGTGCTAATAAGTTTGATTTTGGAAGGACAATGTGTACATTCCCTAGACAGGCAGAGTGTGTGTGAAACACGCTAGTCCATGCTGTGCTACTCAGTGAGCTTCAGCAGGGACAGGACAAGCTGAAAATGGCTCTCATCTGTCTTGTGGTCTTCCAGATAGCAGTTTAACTCTTTCATGTCTAAGCACCAATATCACTGGGGGAAAATGTATGAAAAAAATGAGCAAAAATCTCTTACATTTACTTTATACCTGATAAAAATGCTCTGAAATTGTTCAGTACTTTTTCATATTACCCTCAAGAATAAACAATTTTAAAGCTCCCAAAATAAATACCATACTACAGTTCCATCCTACACTCCTCCCAAAAATTCTGTAACCGTATTACCAAAATAATGTTCATTTTTCCATTTACATGACATTGTCTCTTACTTCAAAAAGAATGTTAAAAATGCAAGCTAAAGACCAAAAAAGAAAAGGGGAAAAAAAAGTCAATTGCAGGGTCTGTACACATGCAGAAATTCTAAATAAATGCACAGACACTCATTTTCGTACTCTAGGTGTTCATTAAAAGGTACTTTTGTTTGAATGCTGAGGAGTCTTAAAAAAATTCTGAATGTCCCCTAAGGAGTTAAAACAGGAATACTATATTTTCATGCATCTCCTGCTTTGACAGATGAAAAATGTCAACTGTCCTGTTTTTATTTTCAAGCTTTTGCACTATTCATCTGGTTCATTAGTGCATCTCGCTGCTGCCCCTGACAGCTGCTCGCCCTCTCCTCCCAGCAGCTGAATTTTTCAGGCTAATTTGATCCTCCACACTGAGACGATCGCTAGAATGATTGACTTGCTCCCTGACCTCCAGGGTCTGACTTCCCTGATTAGTATTCTGGGGGTGTCTGAGGGACGAAAGCCCACTGTCTGTCTTCAGGGCTGGTGGCAGCTCGCTCGCTCTCTTTTTTTTTTCCTTTTTTTTTTTCTTTTTTTTTTTTTGAACTGTAAGCCACCAACCTACAACCCTGTAAGGATGCAATTGCTACGCTGAACAATAAAAGGAAATGTGTAAGACCTACTTTTCCATGTAAAGGTCCATGTAGCAAAAGCACAGCATCTTGATTTTAATTAGTAAAGTCTACTTTGTTGCATATCAATTAAAACTCCAGAGGTAGTGTTTTTGAGGTTTCAGAAATACCTGGGGCTCTAAAAAAAAATCAGACTTTAAAATATACTTTTACTGGCCATGTAGTTAGCATTGAATAATAGACTGTAATATAGGTTAGAAATAATTTTTAAAAGCAACACACATTATAATAAATTAGTCTAAACTTAAATTAAAACATAATTGAAAAGAGTTTAGCAGCAATTAAGCATTTATTGAGAAGTGATAAACATGCCACAGCTTTTCTCCAATTAAGCTGGAGAGAATCCAGAGCACATGTGAGCACATATCAACACGAAATCAATATAATAAAACATGCTAAAATGCAGGCAAGACACATCACAAAAAGCCACTCAGCACAAAACTGCACGGATAATAAAAATATCATGCATTAGTCCACACATCTTGAAGAACCTTAAATAACCACTTTCAAATAATAAAAGAGAAAAATGCTAAGCATGTATTTTAAGATAACCATACCTAACATTTCAAAATTACATCTCAATGATTTTAAAAAAAAAAAAACACCCACCAAAAAAACCCACCACAAACATCTGGTATGTTGTAGAATTAACTAAATGAGATAAATGCATCTCTGAAAAATTTAAAAGCATAGTTGAAGACACTGCCATATACTAAGCTATATATTATATATCAACAATAAGTTTCCCAATAATTACTTTGTTCTTACAATAAGGAAAAAAACCCAAACACAACACTATATCAACTTAGATACCATCCCGGTAAAACTTCTAAAATAAATAAATAGAGAATAGTATTTAAAGATGCTGAGTTAATCAATGCAATTAAGTTATTTAACCATTTCAAAATTATTTACCAGATCAAAGAAAAATTTAATATTCACATAGGTGTTCAATATACTGTAACAGCATCAAAGCAGCAAGCTCAAAAAAAAAATCTTCTTTAGAAAAGTGCTATTGATTTCTACCCAGCAATTTTATTTCATATAACATAGAAGAAAAATTAACACGTTTATTTTATATAGTAATTAGTTATTCAAGGGTTTTGTTTGTTTCCAGATTTAAAAAATCCTCAAGAAAACCAATGAGAGGAAAGGAAGTAGTAATACTTAAAAATCCTCATCTACCTTTATGCTATCTTCAGACTCCTGCTTGCTCAAGTGTGTGGAGTATTGAAACTGATGGCAGTTATCATGGTCAGTACTAAGGAATCCCAATATGGCATTAAGTTTCAGTTCAGGATTTAAACTTCTAAATACTTTCTATCAGCTATCAGACTTCATTCCTGTGAATCGTCCCCAAGATTTAGAAGCAACAGCTATAAATAAATCTGTAAACTCTGCCGAATTGCAATATAGCTATTTGCCCTTTTAATATTTAAAGCAACGTGTTAGAGATAGAAAGTAAACTAATATTACTGCAGACAATTCACCTAGTAGCAACATACAACTTTAACAGGCTGACAATGTTTTCTACAAAATCCTAAAATAACAGGAGGTGCCAATCCTGTTGAGTATGTGTTAAATGAGTTCTGCTGACTCAATGAGGCAGGTGGCTTGTAGGTAAATGAAAAGTGATTTGGGTATAGTAGTTTTTATTTGGAACATGACTAGAAAGACTTCACTGCCATTGCTGATGGAACAACTTTTTTTGCAGCATCCATCAACACAAGTGTTTAGTCTTTTGATCAACAAATGATATGCAAAGAACTCTGAAGATGTAGTTGCCTTAGAAGCCTACCTATTCTTCATACCTTCATTCACCTCAATTTCACAATTTGTCCCGTATCTTTATTTTCTCAGAATATAATATAATTTAAAATTGTGTCACCTACCAATCTTGACCATATGAATTAAGAAATTAACCAATAATTATAGTTTAACCAATTGGAGAAGAAAAGAGTAGAAAAATTACATATGTATGTGCAGTAGAAATCATTATCTCAAAAGTTAACCCAAGCTAGTAGTAATAAGTACACAGTAACCCATTTTTTTTACTGTTTTACTTAGGTTTTAAATAATTTTAAGGAAAGTAACTTTGTATTAAAATAACTATATTGCAGCTTTTGAAAGCATTAGTGCATACTCAAGTCAGTCCTACTGTTTCTCAATGTATTTATTACCAAAATCATATAATCAGCACAGGCCAATAAAACACCTAGGACAATTTTACATGTACTTGCTATTATTCATTTATTAATCCTTTAGTTATGCCCAATCTTCAACAAATTGCTGTAAAATCTTTGTAGCAAGCCCAGTAAAAGGCAAGTCTTGAGTAACATGTAAATAAAAGTATTTCATATGCTGAAGTTACATAAGAGTTCTCATTGCTAACGTTAAAGCCAGACCTATAATAGCTGAAAAGTAGCTTTTCCACAATGCTACATACTTTTCTAAACAACAAAAATACAGGAATAGATCCTAAAACAGTACTTAATTCATTGGGGGGAGGAAGCACAACAGTATTATTAAGTTCACTGTATATATCAATATTACCTCATACAGCAGACATCCTAGAGACCAGATGTCAGATTTGAAGTTGTAACCATTTTCGTGTATTCTCTCTGGAGACATATAATAAGGTGTACCAACTGCAATAGATACACAAGTATTTTGAATGAAAATTTCTGTTGCTATACAGTAGAAAAAGTACAGTTTTCCTTGCTCAAAAAACATTTTTCATCTTCTGTATTTCTCATCTTGCTACACATATAATTTCAATTCATACTTACGACTCTTCAGTTTGATAGAAATACATACAAATTAGATATCTATTTCACCCAATGAAGCTTTATTTTCACTACTGATATCTAATTACCAGAATTATTCAATTGTAGAATACTCCCAATTTTTGCTTTTAAAGAAGCTTGAAAGTAATGATTTTCTTCTGAAGAGAATCAAGGGAACATACTAGATGCATGTACGCACATATCCCACTCCTTTCCAAACTGTTACCACTGTAGCTGGAAATAACAACAGCTAGAAATTCTCTTCCATGGCTTGAATTTTTTTATTTTTTTTTTCTTTTTTAAATGAGTTGTCTGTTCTTCCTTTTGAGAATATACAAATCTGGAAAAGCTGCTTTTGAAACTAATAAACACAATTTAGCTTGAATATCTGAAACTAAAATTGAGCCTGAAATACAGGATCTTCAGCTTCCCAGAGAGGGAGGCAGGAAAAGGAAAACCTGCGAGCCCAGCAGAAGCCGAGGTTCCTACGAGTGACTCAGCCATCTGCTGCAGGACTAGACTTTGCGAGGGCTTTTCAGCTCCCAAATCTGTAGCTGTCCTAGCTTAATCCTGCCTCAGAGCCATTGGCTCTGGAGACGTCTGCTCTTGAAAAGCAGCATTTACTAGGACTGTCCCAGAACAAATTTACATTGGATACTCCAGGACATCTCTTCCCTTGATTTTAATAAGACCCTACCCATCCATGTCACAAGTTACTTGGAGAGAAAAATTCTGAGATGTTCCAGCCCTGTAAAAAAAGCCATTAAAAAAAAAAAGTAGTATCTGAGTGATGGGTTCATATGTGACAGATCAACAAAAAAAGAAGTTATGAAAAATAACGCTAGTGGCAATTTTGGTGCATTGTCTCTGAACTTTTTCCCTATATCCCCCCAAAAATGACTGTCTAACAGCAAAAAGTCACAGATCTATTTAGATTTTTACTTCAAATTTTGTGTGGAGTATTTTCTTGAGCACTGAATCCTGATGATGAAAACCAACTGAATTCTGTCAATTCAATACAAGCTGACCTTACTTCAAAACTGAACATCTTGCAACACAGCCAGAGACTAAAATCAGTCCTCTCGCTGCAAACTATGAAAATTAGAGTATAAACCTCATGCTATTTTATTTAACACAAAGATCTCATGTCACTTCTGCACTTCAAATTAGCCTCATCTATTCAGAATTCATCTCTGTATGAATACTGAAAACAGAGATACAGTGAATACCTAAGTAATATCAAACCTGAATAATCAGGTTAATAGTTTTAATTAATCAGATTAATAATTTTATTCTAATTGCTTCCAAAAGTTAAAGATTTTTGTTTTGACAACATGCCCTATCTTTTAGAAAGGCTGACATCTCCAATTGTGGTATACTTTCTTAGGAAGGAAGCAAGGGGGTGGGGGGTGAAGTACTCTCCTACATGTAAGGCTCAGCTCAGACTGGGAAACCCACTACCACCTTACCCCAGGGTCAGGCCACCCCTGCTTGTAACCCATAATTTCAACTTATCTCTTTCTTGGCAAACAATATTGCAAACAATATTCCAAACCAACGTAAACTGAGAATGTGCTTCTCTAACAGATACACAAGGACAGAAGTCCCATATTGCGTCCTACAATGGATTTGGCCCCCTAAATATTTTGGGGGAGACTTCCAGCCCCAGGAAAGCAGAGGGTGCTGCAGTTCCTCTCCCCAGAGGCTCCTTTAGTGCTGGCCTGAGATACCACTACAGCTCTGAACTGAGACTGCAAAAGATCAAGAGCTTAAAAGGAGAAAGGCTGAGGAAAGGCAACTCAAAATGATGGAGTACTGTGAAAACCATTTAGTCCCACGGGATGTTTGTATTCATCCACAACAGAGGAATGCTCAAGAGGGATGATCTTTTCCCTGTGAAAGAACAGGCACACAGATGGGTGTACCTCAACTCCAGAATAGCTACCAGAATATCCAGAAGCAACTCTGTTATTCTAATATATCAACAGCAGTGCTTTAACGGGTGTTTAATGACAGCTATCTTAAAATTGGAAACTGTAATTAAACAACATTTGGCATGACACAGCTTTCATATTTTTTATTGTCATTACTGTCGTACTTCCCCCTTGAAATTTTTTTTTAACCCAAAGGACTTGCGAGCTTGGACACCGCTGAAAAGTTGCAGCTGTATTTTGCATCCATTAATTAATGCACTGGTTTAGTATACTCTGATGCTTTGTTGGCAGAATTCAACTAACAACAAAATGCAAGTTTAATAGTAATCTGGTTCTCAGCCGGTTACAGCAGCACTGCCTCTGCTGCTCTGAGACATCACGCAAGTAGCTGGCAGTGAGTAATGTGCCAGAAAGAGGCTTCACAGAATCCACAGGGGGCAGCTGAAAACACAGAAGTTTGAAGGTTCATAGTTTACCAAAAGCAAAGGCAATTTTAACCAGTAGCTCTGGGAAGCCTGCTGATGCATTAGGGGTCTCATACGACTGTGAAAGATTGATGATAGTGAAAAGGAAGAACAAATGCTATCATTTTACAGCGTTTAGCCTAGCATAACACCTTAACTGCAATACAACCTGAAGCCCCCAATGACCAACAAGTGAAAGGAATTGAAATTACAGTTATGTTAGTCATTGAATCACAAAAACAACCCAAAGATCTAGACATCATTACTACTTGTAAACTGTGTTTAGCAGAACATGACACAAAAGATTCATTATTCTGACATCCAGGAGCTACTGCAGACATTGCAATGATTCTTTAAAACTGTGAGCAATCTCGGTACGTAGCTGTACTGCTGGCAAGCAACTACCAGATATGATTATACGTTATGCTTCCTTCCTGGATCATTATTTTTTTCTATTAAGTGAAATACAGCGCCACTATACTATAGAGACATGTGACTTCCTTTACTCATCTGAAGACACAGAAGTGGGATAATACAAGACAAAGACATAACTCATTAAGGTGCCTAGGTTTTTAAGAACAAAAAAAAAAATCTTTAACTTTAGCATTCTGTTCACTGCATTTGCATTTGGATAACCCACAGGTCTGAATGGTAATCTTGAAAATGGCCTGGGTCAAATAAACTGCTTCCTCACAATCTGCTGCTGCTCAGGAGCTCCCTCCCTTTAAAGATGCTGCAGATCCAGAAAGTGTTGTTTCTTTATGCAAGCTTTCTGCTATTGGGAGAGGCAATGGGCATAATGGAAATGGTGGTTATTGGGGGAAGCCAGATCTGAAGGATCAGAGGCAAATAAACTATTATGAAGGAGGGAGTTATGATATAGACAGTCTGCCTTACTACCTCCATAAACACATAACTCACACTGCAGCTGAGTTTAAGTGAACACACTCTCCTCTTTAACAACAATACACTGAGGAGTTGAACGAAATACAGTAACTAGCACTAAGTACTACCAAACATTTTTAAGCTGGAAGAAAAATCTGCCTGGTAAATGTTAATGCTACCTATACAAGGCAATGTAACAGCTGATTCAGAGAGTGTATAATAGACTAGTTTTAACAAAGGTCATATAACATTACTGACGTTTCATGCATTGGCAGATATAACCATCCAAGTTCAGGAAGGAGGCTAAAATCACTTCGGTAACTTCTGATTTTCAAAGAATTCCAAAACAAGACTTCAGTTAAAAAAAAAGGCCCAATTTAAGTTATCAAAAGATACAGTTTATGAATGACTTAACATTCATGAGATCACAGGAATATTATAATACAGAGGTTCAACACAACATGCAAATGCTTAAACAAGATGAATGGTTGATGCTGAAGACAGATAAAGTTACAAATAAGCCACAGTTATGGAACAGCGAGGGTAACCAACCACTAACATGACAAATTCTCTGTAACTATAATTTATAGGGTTCTTTACTTATTTATTTTAATATAGGTGTAGGAGATTTCCAAGTCACAGACTTGCCTTCAACCACAGATAAGGGTTCTAAATTACTGCACTTACCCAAAGTTATTATGCAACCCAGCCTACATTATGCAAATAGTCTAACTGCAGAAATCAATCTATAAATATCTTGGGTTATTTTACGATGTAGCATTGTAACAGTACAATAATTTACCTTCAGCTTTCAAACTACTTTGAGAGATCTCGGGGTTTTATACATAAAATAAGAGCTGTTTTAATATAACTTCTTTGATGACTGCGATGAATTCCAGCTGCAGATTTCCCTGCTAGCCTTCTTGTACATTGAAGGTGCACGTTCTCAGAATGGTTTGGTTGACAGTATGAAAATGGCGCTTGTTCTATTCACAGCAAAACAGTGCTGCACACTACCACCTCAGCACTTGCTAACCCTCTGCTGGGTTAGAGATCCTATATAAGGGGAAAGGAGGATATTTGCTCACATTTTTACAAGGTATTCTATTCCGCACAACCTGCATGAGTTTACAGTCAAATCTCTCAGAAAATAGCTCTGTGCTGGGGACAGGAGTACCATGGAAGTGACAGAAGTTGTCAAACCACAGAAGAAACACTAGATTCAATACAGATGATCCTTTGCTTTCAAGTATTTTAAGAAGGTGGTAGATCTGCTCCTTTGCCCTGCAAGAAGGTATTCACATTACGGCAGCAGTATCCACCTGGACAGCATACAATGCAGCGCTCTAGCACAACCACACTGGAGAACTGAAGTGTGGTGGGTTTCTTTTTTGCAACTGAAATAGTAAAATATGGACTATCCTTGAATCTACTGACTGGCTAACAAAGGTTTTAAAAAGCACATATTTCCATAAGCTGGTCTCAGAATCGCCTTGTCTCTAAACTGGAGAAATGGATTTGACGGATGGACCACTCCGTGGATAAGGAATTGGCTGGATGGTTGCACTCAAAGAGTTGCAGTCGATGGCTTGATGCCAAAGTGGAGACTAGTGACAAGTGGTGTTCAACATCTTTGGCAACGACATGGACAGCAGGGTCCAGTGCACCCTCAGTCAAGTTTGCTGACGACACCAAGTTGTGTGGTGCAGTCAACACACCGGAGGTCAGGGACGTCATACAGAGGGACTTGGACAGGCTTGAGAGGTGGGCCTGTGTGAACATCATAATGTTCAATAAGGCCAAGTGCAAGGTCCTGCACACAGGACGGGGCAATCCCAAGCACAAATACAGGCCGGGCAGAGAATGGACCAAGATCAGCCCTGAGGAGAACAACTTGGGGATGTTGGTTGACAAGAAGCTCAACATGACCTGACAATGTGCACTTGCAGCCCAGAAGGCCAACCATGTCCTGGGCTGTATAAAGGGAAGCATGGCCAGCAGGCAAGGGAGGTGATGTTCCCCCTCTACTCTGCTTTGGTGAGACCCCACCTGCAGTACTACCTTCAGCTCTGGGGGCCCCAACACAAGAAGGACATGGACCTGTTGGAGTGAGTCCAGAGGATCAGGGGACTGGAGCACCTCTGCTATGAAAACAGGCTGAGAGAGTTGGGGTTGTTCAGCCTGGAGAAGAGATGGCTCCAGGGAAACCTTTGAGCAGCCTTTCAGTACCTAAAAAAGCCTACAAGAAAGCCGGGGAGCAACTTTTTACGAGGGCATGGAGCGATAGGACAAGGAGCAATGGCTTTAAACTGGAAAAGGGAAGATTTAGATTAGGTATAAGGAAGAAATTCTTCCCTGTGAGGGTGGTGAGGCACTGGCACAGGTTGCCCAGAGAAGCTGCGGATGCCCCATCCCTGGGAGTGTTCAGGGCCAAGTTGGATGAGGTTGAGCAATCTGGTATGGTGGAAGGTTCCCTGCCCATGGCAGGGGGGTTGGAACTCGACGATCTTTAAGGTCCCTTCCAACCCAAACCATTCTATGATTTCAAAGAGCACAAGGCCTGGCATTCAGCCATTAAAAAAAAACAAACACAAAACAAAAACAAAAAACAATCACACAAAAATCAAGAAACCCTAACACACAGTCATAGGCAAAGGAAGAAGAAGCCTTGGATCATCTTCCCTTTTCTAACATAAAGTCTTCTGAAAGCAAGAAATTTTGTTGATTTGATACAAACTTGACAATACCAAATGCCTTCATTTCCTTTCCATTTTTGGAAGAAAGATTTTGTATTTTCAAAAAGGTATATATGTGCTACAACAGAAAATGCTACTGTTTTGATAAGGCTGTATAAAAATAGTTAAGAACATGAACAAACCCTGTCCAGGGCAGTATTTTCATTTGTTTCAAATGGACCATCAGCAAGTATTCTAATTAAATCAGTATTATTCATAATTAGCAGTTAGAAGCAGTAGCTAATGAAAATTTTAGCACATTTCTTTATCTCTGAAAGCCTGAATCTAGTTTGCTACTAAAATTTTTATAAGGCTTGTAAACAAGTATAAATTGCTACACGTAATATGTTTGTAATTCACTGGGTTTTGTGCACCAAAGGTTTACGGAATTATAAAAAGATACAACTTTGAAAGAAAATTCAGGAAAATCAGCATCAGAAACTGCATGACAAATTAATTTTAAGAGGTCTCTGCTAGTGATATGATAAATCAGTGTCTTGACTGTAGCCTAAGTTAACAGCTGAACAAAACTTTTTTCCCAGGCTGAATTCTGACATTAGGTCATAATTAAGAGGGAAATGGGAGGAGAAGGGAGAAAAAAAAAAACAAAACAAAATAAAAAATAACAGCTCCTAGACCAAGACACAGCACCCAACATCAGAAACACAGCTTCTATTTCCCTACCCCTGCTCCCTGGATGACTCTCTTGTTTGTAAGATGAGCTTTAAAGAGCTTGGAGGTTTTACACCATTTTTAACTGTAGCTCAGTGTTCAGTCCCTTTGCAACCGCTCCCCTGCAAAAAGCCAAAATAACACAGGGTTGAAGCGGTTTGTTGTTCTTTAACTTCCTGACTTCTGCCTCAGAACACAAGTCTAGCTCTCCCGCCCTCACAACTGACTTTTGCCTTCTTCATGCACTCCTATTCACATATTAGGATTTAAAGCTTCCTGCAACTACGGTCTAGGAGCAGCTCCCTCTTCACATTGCTTGTTTACATCCTTCTTCCATTCGCATGCAGTAGCAGGACCCAAGTACGACAAATAAGATCTCCACAGTGCTGCCAGAGACAGCCACTGGGCTACGACGGCAGCATGAACAGCAGCACTTTATACAATACACTGTGCCATGAACTAGTATCAGAACTTTAGGGTTACATCTGAACTTCGAAATGGAACCCAAGCACATTTCCAGTCTGGTCTCACTGCTTCTCCTGCCTCTTTCGCTCTCTTTTTTATTAATGCAAGATTGCACATCTGTGTCTTGAGTTTCACCTCAGTCCTATCAAGATCTCAGTAGTTACTTATGGTTACTTTACCAGTATCAGTATGCTGATAAAAACAGGAAAGGCACGACAGAGCGACCAAAGGCTTTCTGGAAGACAGGGATGTAAGGATCGTATCAAAAACTTCCTTTCTAAAATAGGTGGGTTTTTGGTTGTTAGCACAAGTATCATCCACATCTCAAATGTGGTACAAACATGCTGAATATCAATCCTCTCTCTTTTTCCACACTGCACTGATAACTGAGACTATCTGAATGAAGTTAAATTAAGAGGTGAGGATAAATATGGCGTATTTTAATCCAAGTCATCTGACATTTCATAGTTTAATTAGAAACATCAGCATCCGAGCAAACACAATTCTTTGTGTGTCCTTCCATGGCACTAAGATAGGGATTTAAGTATCACTTCACCATTCTTGCCTTTCTTAGATATTATCTCCGTTATCATGCACTCTTGTCAAACACAGAAAAATATCCAAATGTCTAATTACAGATTTGCCACTGTCATTTGTTAATTCTCACTGAGTTGCATTTGAAATTATTCTACCTATCTATATTCAAGTATCAGAAAGGTGCTCTGCCTGCTTCAATACCCTTTAGGAGGAACAGAAGACAATTCTGGATGCTGCCATCAATGGTCCTGCTCTTGAGGGGTCTAAAAGTTAATTTCACACCCTTTGCAGTCAGGGAACAGGCTTGAATTCAGCAACTGCTAAACACAGACACTTCAGCAGGGGAAAATAAATTTTTTTTTCTTAACTAAAAAAACCTACCTAATGACACTATAAACACCAATTCTTACATTTCTCTTTAAGGCAGATGCTACTCTATTTACAAGGCCTTCCTCTTTTAGAGAGATCCTCTTAGATTTTGTCATTTGTCCATTCCCTACATTTAAACTTAAAATATCTGCCAAATTTTTACTTTTTCTTCTTTAAAGGCTTCTTAACCATCCTCGTCTCCACATGCTACTCAAAAGACGCAAATTATATGAAAATTTTGTTTGAAAAAAGATAATACAATGGTTTTTTTAATGTGCTAGCAAAGAATAACTTGGGCATTTCAGAAAGTTTTTTTATATTCTTGTAAGTTTTCTGGGATTTGTTTTTGTTGTTTGTTTTGTTTTTAAAGTCTTTATGGTTCATAAGTGCTTATTCTGATCTCTCCTCGACTTACTTAGTTTTTATTGAGAAACTCCACCTCAAAACAGGGAAGCTCCTCTGTTAGCCCTTTCAAAGCATATAACCAACATGTTGACAGTGCTACCCATACAGACACACAGAATTACTAGATTCTTTCCAACACCAACTAAAGTTCAAACAAATTTAAAAAAATGCATCCGTATTATTGATCTTATTTTTTCCTAGCATTTCTAGAAAATGCTACTGTCATAAAGACTTGTTTTTGAGCCATGAATGTACATTAAATGATTCAAACAAAGTGGAGAAGAAAAAAACCAATAAACAAGCTGTACTGCTGAAAGTGACACCTCAGTGTTGTAGCTTTTCTGTATTTGTCCATGGTGCTGGCCATTTTTTTAATTTATTATTTACGAAAAGCTTTAGCTGGACCTAATCCTTTTCTTCCTCCTCATGAGTAGGTACAGTATTTCAATCATGTAAAAAAATCCACCTCCCCAACACCTGTACCTCAGAGAAAGCTTACCTAAAGAATGTGCAGCTGTGGTTTTAGAGCTGAAAAATCGACCAAGTCCAAGGTCTCCAAGCTTTACTACCCCTGTAGCTGTAATGAACACATTAGCTGGCTTTATATCTGGAAAAAAAAATTAAAAAGTGACAATGAAGTTGCAAGAAAAGCTATTGCTTTATTAATAACAGACCAAAAGAGGTTTTTATTTACAGCTAATATTGAAAAAAAATGACTGCGCTTGTGCTTTCAGAAAGAGTAAGTTTGGAGTTCGGAATTTGTAATTAATCTTTTTACTTTTACAAACATTGCTCAAGCAAAAAATTAAGAGCCATGGAAAGTATTTTAAAAAAAACAAGCAAACAACCACCCCCCACCAAAAAAAAAAAATATCACTCCCACCCCATGCCCAAAGAAGCATATACATGGAGTTCATTACTGCTTTGTATAAGCTATCAATAAGGACTTCCACTACAACTAGAAAATCTCTCATTATGTCTTAAGTAACAGACCAAAAGTGTTTTCAAGAAGTGTAAAACATATTTTTCATCACTTTTGCTGATCAGATTACCCAGAGTGGCATGACGTTACTTATTTGAAATAGGTAACTGATTCTCTTTAACAGCAGGCATTTAAAAAAAGCAGCAAGTTTTACTCAGGAGAATGGTTATTTGAACTCATCAATGGAACTGGGCTAATCAAGCAGAAACAAAGAAAAATAATGATGCATACCCTAGTTATTTTTCACAAGCAATATTCAATTTAAGTTTTAATCCAATCCTTTAGAGACAACAGCAAAAAATTTTATTTTATTTTTTTTAACAAGATATCTATCCTGTTAGTCTTCTAAATAAACTGACTTGATATTTGTTTGGCAAGTGCACTTAGCTCTTGCGCAGCTCAAGAGCAACGCACTGCAGCTCTAAACTTAAAGAAAATAACTTAACTTTGATAAGAAGGGATTATAGTTTGTTTAAGATATACAATGGTTAATAACCCCTCACACATCAGCATATTCAGGTTTCCAATAAAAAGTTACAAAACTTTATAAGCTTTAGAAAGGAAGACAGAAGTGATTATGTTAGGCTGCTATCTGACCTAGTTTTCAGGAGTTTGGATCACCCTTTGTGTAACAACCCAACACGGATATCAGCTCAACTTAAAATAGCTTTAATTGTCAAGAGTTTTGGTGTATAATCATAGAATTGTTAGATTTGCCATAGGTTTGCCAGAAGCTTTGAAGGTAGTATTTCAGTTTAAGGACTTTAAACTTATTTTGGTTTTGACCTAAAATATACTGAAATCAACTATTTGAGTCATAAAAACATTAAAGGAAGATCCCTATACCTTATGGAAAGAATTTGTAATTTTATGTGTCTCTCTGCATAATTTGGATTTGCAGGTGTCTGTACAAATGTGTAAAGAAAAAAATAATCACAAGGGAATGCCATTTGCAGGGGCAGGGGCATCTAAGTTATCTGCTGAAGGGTGCAACAGCTCTAGATGCAAATGACAAAGCTCAGCAGAGATCAAGGGACTCTCGCTTTCAGGCAGCTATCTGCATCCCAGCAGAAGGAAGCCACCAATCTAAGACATGCAATTTCACCTGAACCCAGAGAGACAGCCCATATACAACTTGCAACTCATAGCCAGAGGGATTTCCAAGGCAAAAAAAAAAAAGCATCTGAGAAGCAGCTATACTACAATCTGTTTTCTTTGACTCAGAATTACAAGGTAAAATGAAGACAACATATGGAGGAGACAGCAGTACAGAGGTTTAAAATGGGTAGAAGAGATTTAGTACCTAACACAGATAGCTGGAAACTACAAGGGCTGTTGGGACACACTAATTGACACAGAGATTGGAAATAGTGGAGAGGAGCAGAGGAGGAGAGAAAATGCTCACGGTTGCACATGATCCAGTAGATAAGGGAGTAGGAGAAAGGCCTATACATCACCAGAAGGTATGGCAGGAGGTAAATACTTTCGTAAGAAAAAAGGTGCAAGAGGTAAAAAGAATGGATGGATAGCTATGCAAGAATGCAGGTAACAATACCTGGAAGAGACAACGGGCAAATATAGAAGAATAAGAACAGGACAGAAAATAAGAATGAGCAAAATGAATTGAGCAAGCAAAGGGGTAGCAGTGGCAGGGTCTCCGTCACTTACAGAATTATCACTTATTTTGAAAACTTGGTATCACAAGCCATTGCTGCAAACAAATACCTACCACAACAAACGTACAATGATGAACTTCTGTCACACTTATCTGTTACTTATAAAACATTACAGAAACATACATTGTGTCAGCTGTCAAAATTTATTCTATTATGACATTATTCAGTGTCATTTGCATTGAACCAGTTTAATTCTCACATAGTAAAAGGTTTAGTAAAGACAAATCATCTTTGATCCTATATTACCTCTATGCATAACACGACGAGAATGCATATGTTCCAAGGCACTGCAAAGCTGAACAAAATACTTCCAAACTGTTCTTTCAGGAATCAACCTCTTCTGTTTCTTAAAATGCTTAAAGAAAAGAGGATGGACACTGAAAATTAAAATTTAAAACTTGCATAAAGTGACTGAAAAAAAAGACAGAAAGTCTTTCATTTAAAAGCCAAATACAAGAGGCTCACAACCTAACGAGAAAGGTTTAACAAAATTTCTTGACACAGAAAGCTTTTCCCTGAAATATTAATACATGTATCATCGATGTATGTGTTTATGTCAGTCAACACACTGAGCCACAAATGACATTAATGAAATAAAACTGTTATCCAAAAAAGGATTTATGTGGTATTTAGCAATCCTCAGTGCAGGATTAATGTGGTCAGAATAGTGCAGCATAGAGTAAGTGGCCACAGAACAAATAGCGACACACAGTCACAAACAAAGATCATATAAGAGTCATCAATCAGATTAGTCTTTAAAACTTCTGCAATACATAAAAAAAAGACTAAAGGAACTGTGATTTCTGAAAATTTCATAGTGATCTAACTACTGTTCAAATATTTTCCATCCTGTATGAACAACCATTACCGATCACTGGTAACAGTTTAATGGCCTGTTAAAGCTTACGTTAAACAATTATGCTCTGCTACACACATCTCCTTCAAATATTATATTCAGGGACTGGAATAACACAGTCCCCGAAAAATACATACTGAAAACCTGGAATTCAGCCAATGCTAAAACGTGCAAGTTTGATCGTTATAAATTTTGCAGCTAAAGGTAACAAGACTGAAAAATTGTTGCTCGCTTAGTCTCTTTTTAAAGAATTCATATTTTGACAGATTTTAAACACACAAAGAAAATACATGAACAACATTAGCAAAATTTTAGATGGAAAGCAAAATACTTAGATGTATTTTAATAGCATGCATACACACACACGTCACACTCATGCACACCCTAAGAAAGTTCACATAACAAACATTTTTTACTCTGGAAAAATAAAAATATTTTCATATGCTGTGTTAAAATGTGCCACTGAGAAGCTGACAGCTGCAACTACACACTACAGAGACATGCAGGAAGATGAGAAAGATGTTTTTAAACTAGCTATAGCAAAATGTATCAGTCGTACAAAGGATCACAACATTTCACCAAAATGTTTTTAGTTATGGGGATTATTTCAAAATGCATTTTCATTTAAATGAGGCAAAGCATATAAATTACTTCTTTAAATATAATTTTCTCTCAGTCTTGGACTGAATCCAAACAAACCCTGTGTATCTGTTCTCCCCATAGCTGGATTTGCATATCAGAGGATTGTTTGATGTCAACAGGAAGATGAAGACCAGGTTTCTTTTCATTTAAAAACAAATACACAATACATGTAAGTATATGCACATGAAAGCATTGTTCCTTGATTTAAAATGCATTCTGAAATTATCATAATTATAACTAGGTACTTTATTTAAACATTCTGAATTATTATTTTTTTACTCAAATGTAAGCACAAGCAGTGATGAAACACCATTCACAAAGTGTCTGAAATAGGAAGATTTTCCATTACAGATTTCCATTTCAGTGTACTTAAAAGTAGTGTACTTTCAAAGTATTTATGTACAAGTATTCTTTTAACATTTTATTCATCTGTCATCTATAACACTGTAGCTGATTGTACACTACAAAATCGGCTTCAATTCTTAGAGTGCAAGCATGAAATATAACAGTTTTTAAGACCTAGTCTCATTCTACTGAAAGCATTAATCATTTTGCATTTTAATAACAACTTTTCCTGAAAGCATCAATAACATTAACCCTGTAGAATTTATCCACCTAAGAGGATGCAAAAGAGAGTTAAACAAAGAAATAGGCACCATTTTCACTTTTATAGGTTTAAAAATAACCCAATTATCTTTAAAATAAACTCACTGAACATTATTTTGTGTAGTAATTAATTACACTACCTTTCTCCAGCAAAATACATATTCTCAATGTTTTCTTGGGCTGTTGTACACCAATAGCCAAAATAGTGACAAAAAGCCTCCACTAGAAAATAAGATTGATTTTGCAAAACTAGCTATTGAAACAAGTTGTATGTTTCTAGGAAACAGTCCAACAGGCAGCATTAATTCTGAGAAAAGCCAATAATGAAAAGGAATCCCATTCCTGTTTAGAACCTTACCTTCTAATAAGAAATATAAGCTGATGCAAAACATAGTCAAACCTATTTTATGCCCAACAGCATAATTAAATTCATATAGCACATATTAACTGTATTCAAAGCAGGATCCTTTTCTCTCTCTCCTCCATTTTAAAACAGTCCACAATGTAAAATGCAGTTCTAATGGTTGTGGGGTCTGCCCCCTCCCTACAGGGAAGCCAAAATGCAAAATACAAGATGCCAAAACAATAATTTTTAAACACTATTCTAGCAGACCATAGTAGCACCACAAACAGTTAATACTGAAACTGATCCACTGCCTAGTGCTGTAATGTCTCAAGCACCCTAAGGTCCACATAATCAAGTTAACACAACACTGCTATCTCCCATTGTATGCAAGTTGCTATTATCTGCCCAAATTCAACCTCAAAGGAATACAGCCTGACATACAGCTTTCTAAAGTGCTCTCATCTTCAACATCTTACTATTCTGCTTCTTCCACCTGTCTGAGGCTCAAAGGACAGTCCAGATGTCCCTCAGACCACTAACCTTCTAGGGTGTGACATTAAAAAAACAAACCTGTTTGAGGTGAAAGATTAGCCTCAACATAGTTGAAACTGGGCAAGAAGGGAACTGTTCGTACACATGCATTAAAAATTTGGGCAGTGTTGCAAGCTAGTGTTTTTTCAGGTAAACAGAGGATACCAGGCATGCTCAGGCAGCAGACTGTCTCCCAGCAAGAATTATTTGTTTCAAAAGCCATATCCCATGAAATTTCCACCTCTGTCTTTGAGAATGTAATCACAAAAAAACTACCTTGAAGAGTTTTCATAATGTCAGTACAATTAAAACGTCAATTCAGTCCTTTGATGCAATTGGAAATTTTTGTGGTCATAAATTTCCTATTCAAATGCCTTAAAGAGCTTTAAGGTAGGCAGGTTATATCACCAGTTTGTCTTTTCATCCCTTTTTAAAAAATGAATGAGCAGTTTCGTTATGGAAAAACAGAACTCTCCTGGTTTTCTCTAATGAATTGCTAAAAGAAAAATTAAATATTCTCCAAATGTTTCCATCCTAGTGAAGTTAAATATAGCTACCCTGCACCTAAACAGCATATGCCATTCAGTTTCTTGGAGGCATTAAAAAAAAAGTAAATGATAGATGGGGAAAAAAGCTTAAAGTCAATATAAAAGCATGGAATTATATTATACTGCATTTCTAGAGATGATGATTTAAAGATCAAATTCCAAACGTAAAAGTGACAGCAATTAGCAAGTGCTCTCACCTAGGATTAACAAGCACAGTTCAGAGAATACTCTTCAAGGAAATATGCAGGACTATGTTTGGTTTTTACAGGAAAACTAAAGATTTCCTGCAGATGAGTAAAGAACAGCGAGCATAGACAATTTCAATACAATTTGAGATTTCAGATATGACTGCCTATATCTCAGTAACCATGCTACGAAAAAAATCTAGCATTCAGCTCTGGCAATAGTGTCTTCAGAGAATTTTACCATGTGATTTAGCCTTCCTTAGACCTCACTGAATAGCAGGAAAAAAAAAAGTTAAAAAATATAAAAAAAACACCAATGAGTGTTTAAGCAGCAAATTGGACTATAGAAAGCAAAAGGATTATGAACATCTCTGCAAAAAGATGATAAAGTGATCAGCTAAAAAACTTTGCAGGGTCATTTAAAAAAAAAAAAGTCTGTGAAACTGTCAAACGAGACCACAAGAACACATACCTGAATTTTTCTACTGTGCATGCTCTAGGCTGGAGTTGCCTTCTGAAAGAGATTTGGGCAACAAGTAAAATGAGAATGATCATTTCCTTGCTTTAAATAGATTCCTTTTCCTTTCTTTCACATTTTGATGAGGATCTTTATCACATCTGTCTGTTCTCATGGCTTCATTTCTGGCTTACAAAAATATAAAAGGTTTGGGAGTTTTTTGTTTTGTGGGTTTTTTTTTGTTTTGTTTGTTTGTTTAGCTTTTTAATATATTTTATTGCATAGAGTTATCAGAACACAGTGATTTAACAACCAGATACTTGTCAGAAGAAAACTAAACTTCATCAAGAGGAAAGTGATGCAGAAAGGATTACTACAAGGAACTTCCGAGTAACACGTCATGAAATTCTTGGCCACTTCTGCCTGTGTTTCTTTGGGAGTCTTTTTTAGTATGGACTAGCAGAAAGAACAGAGAAAGGAAAGAGCAGGTCAGGCAATTGTAATAGGAAATTACAGAAGCATGAGCAGGAGTTCCCATTCTGCGAGTACAACAGAAACCAATCAGAGCTGGCAACAAGGGTGTGTAGGGCCAAAAAGATAGACCAGTTAAGACAGACCTCAACATCTTTACATTTTTGAGTAAAGATCAGAGACTCATTGTCATGGTCTAACCCAGCAGGTAGCTAACCACCATACAGCCAGCGGTATGAGGGAGAAAACTGGGGGGAAAAAAGTAAAATCCATGAGTTGAGAGTTAAAGACTGTTTAATAGGACAGAAAAGGAAGGGAAAATAAATAAAAAAATCTTTCATCATTATAAGAATATACAAAGAAAGTGATGCACAATGCAATTGCTCACTACTTGCCAACTGATGTCCAGCAAGTTCTCTAGCAGCGGCTGTCAGTCAGCTTTTCCCCTAGTTTATATACTAAGCATGATGTCATATGCTACAGAATATCCCTTTGGCCAGTTTGGGTCAGCTGTCCTGTCTGTGTCCCCTCCCAACTCCTTGTGCCCCCCAGCCTACTCACTGGTGGGGTGGTGTTAGAGGTTGAAAAGTCCTTGACTTAGTGTAAACACTGCTTAGCAACAACTAAAACATCAGTGTTACCAACATTATTCTCATCTTAAATCCAAAACACACTGTACCAGCTACTAGGAAGAAAATCAACTCCATCCCAGC